TCTTTTTTTTTTTTTTAGCAGATAGCTGGTGCTCCACGATATTTGACGCTATGTAAAGTCTCTTTTAATCTCGTGACGTTTGAAGGGGATGTTTCCGCTCTTAGATGTCTGAATCCTCACTTTCTGAGATGTTCAGCGCGCGTTCAAATCCCTCATGTTTTCGAATTATCGGATATTTCAGCCTCTCGGTTCGCTGAACATTTTGAATTATTCCAGTGTCCTTTGATCTCGCGCCCCACACAAACGCGCAGTTCGATCTCGTCCCAAACCGCACACACCTATCAATGTCTATCAGTGGCCATTGTATCGCAATCAGGCTTGCCAAGATTGTCATGTATCCTTATACGCACACGCACACGCCAGGGGAGCGACGAAATAAATAAGAGGAATAATGACGGTTCCAATTTTCCACAATCACGAAGTTCAATTCGGGAGATTTTTGCGGGAGATAAAAAAGAAAATTGCGACAAAGAAAGTGACACGCGCGCGCGCGCGCGCGCGAGGAGATAACAGAGCCGGAAATAGAGCGATGACACGCTGCGAAGCGAGGAAGGGCGTCTCGCGGCGGGGCGCGCCCTCCCCCCCGTGCTCGCGGCTAATTCGGTGCTTTGCTGACACTGTGGTTTCTGTTGTTGTGTTGCAGAGCTGAAAAATTGGCGGATATCACAGATATTTGAGAGACAGAGTAACAGCGACGAGAGGAGGCGGTGCTCGTTGTGCGGTAAGGTCGTGACGAACGTCCGCAATCACTATTACGTGCATTTCCCCGGCAAGTACGCCTGTCCGCTCTGCCCGGCGGTGTACACGCGCAGCGACACCCTGCTCACGCACACGCGTACCAAGCACGCGTACGCGCAATAGCGCGTACACGCCTCGCAGTGTCACGCCGCGTACTTTAAGCTGCGGATCTCCAGCGCCGCGGATCGCGAAGGGCCGCCTCGTCTTCTCTCTCTCCCTCCGCAGCGACTCCGACCCTTGCCGCCAGATAATCTCGAACCCGACTCGTGAATTATTTGCGATACCCGGCGTGCTGCACACGTTGGGTAAATCCTTCCCCCCCCCCCCTCCGTCGTTCTCCCGTTAGATAAACAAGATTGCGGCGAAAGGATTCGTCGCGAGTGCGAAAGAATCTTGGCGTTTAAAAAGATGGGAGGATTTGAGGACCGATAGATAGCGAAGGGTCGCGCGAGACGCTCGGACGTGAAGCCGCGAATCGAGGCGTCTGGAATCTTGGATTCCGATATTCGGAGAAGCTGGTTCGCACGCTCGAGATGCTCCGAGTTAGAAACGCTGCGAGGGATGTTGGTGCGATTTGCATTCGCGACGAAGAGCTCAGGAATCGCTCTGCGCCCTTTCTCTCTTCCTTTTCGAACGATCCACGTTGTGTTTAGCAACTAAAGGGTCCTTTCAAGCGTGTTCGGGCGATTATAAGGATCTGTGATGATTCCATCATCATGTAAATATTGGTCCTCGTCTCCGCTTCCACCTCGCTGCCCTTCTCCCGCCTTCCTCTCCCCCTCCCCTCTTCCCTTCCCCTTTCTCGTTTGCAGACAACGGATGGCGCTCCGACGAGCTCAGCATTCGAATTTCGGGGCCAAGGCTCTTAAATCTACGCCGGTATTTACACGACCACGCGCCTTTAAATTTCTAGACTTATTCGTGCGAGTGCGAATATCGACCGAGGGGACTCGACGCGCGAATGAGACGATTTCAGAAGAAGTAGATGAGAACGGCGACGTCGAGTCTTCGTTCCGTCTCCTCCCCCTTCCCCTCCCGTGGTCACAATTATTCTTCTGGAGTTTTGCATGCGTTGAGAAGGGTATCGTGTAAAATTAAAGACGAAGACTGCACGTTTATTCGGTGTTAATTTGGCTCTGACTGATTTCCTCTCGAGAAGCAATTAAACTTCAATTAGGTTTTATTACGGGCTAATAATTTTAATTAATATTAATAACTATCGGTTTTGAGTGTAACGATTCACATATAGAGACGGGTATTTTGCACATCGGTTACAGGTACATCGGCCTGCGGCTGGATACGCAGGACGTTATTAGTTTTATGCAGGGAGCAATGCACGGATAATTACTGCGTTTTGGCTCACGTGGCGATATATTTTGTCGAAAAACGAATTGTAATTCCGCGAGTGCTCTTTGAGTGGTCGGGCAAACGATCGGATAATTTTGGAATCGTGAGCAATCGAAAAAGACGACGCTTAATATCGAGATGCTTTGTTGTGCCGAAAAGCAGGGCATCGTCGGCAAAGATATGCGGCGCGTTCAAATAAAATAATTATCGTTCGACTATTATTCAAACGTACCTGTCGCCGGATTATCCAGTATATTCACGGTCGCTCGATAGGCCGCCAAACTCACGACTCCGCACAAACGCACACATAATGTATAACATGACATGTAAACACGTATGCATCTGTAAATCCGCAGCTTCGTATATAGAAACGTATATCGAGTGCGCCTGTTCTTCCGTAAAAATGCCAAAGACACGTGGAAGAAAAGTGCGTTACGTAGTTTGTAAGTGAGCGCCGACGGTGCAACACCTCTGTCGCGCGTGTTAAGTTTTCCAAAGTGTAGTTTAAATTCGCTTTTCTACTACTTGTGTACCTTCAACCTCTCCGATCGTCGCCGGCGAAGCCGGCTCGTTGGGGATTCTCCGTTATATCGAGTTGTCTTTCATTTCTGGAACTGAGAACAAGAATTTGCATCGTCTTTCCGTGAGAAGAGCGCGACAAAGCCGTTGTTTTTTTTTTCCAAGATCTGCAAATTGCAGAAAGATCGATACTTAGAGACCAGCAGGTCGCTTTTCGACGACCGTAACGAATAATTATTCTCGTTCCGACGGGAGCACATGATTGAAATCAGCTTTAGCGCGCACGTACGTACAGTTTAGACTGTACACGACTAATGGCCAATTACGGTTAAGAAGAATCGACGAGTGTTCTTTGAGAAATGTAGACGCTTTACGAGACTATCCATTAAGAGATGTAATATATTATATGTTGTGTGTATAAAAATAAAGGAACCACCATCGCAATAATTTCAAAGATCTGGCAACGATACGGACATTTGTCTTGGCTTGAAAGTGACTGTTTTGTTGTTTTTACATGCAGTGTGCATTATCGAATGCTGTGTTCGCAGACAGTACATTTCAGTAATCGATACGTGACGTGCCTTGGGGAGGGTAAGCTGGTATTTGACGCCACCGCAATGCCTTAATCAACTATCCCCGATCATCTTGAAATGCATTCGAGAACAGTGCCAATGAATAAAAGCTGATCTATATGCAAATTAGTAAAATTTAAATTTCTCTCAGTTTTTTAAGGAATAATTCCGTAGAATAATTTTATTTGCAAATGTTTGACATTTCTCTTAAGTTTAGATTAGAAAGGATTGTCTCGTTTAAATTTCCCGCTCGACGATGTAAAAGTTAATAACTTTGGAAAAGTTATATCTTTTATATAAGCGCCTCGGACTATGTCAGGTCACATTTTTTTTCGAAAAAATTGAGTTATTATTATCACAAGACTCCAATTTTTGCCCAATGGCAAATGTTTTCAATAGACATGTTGACTGTATAAAGTTAAGTTACAATGTGACCAGGTAAACAATATTAAATCTTACAACTTCATTTTCTGAAACATATCAAAGTTTGATATTATATCTGCAAAAAAATCTGCAAGACATTACGAGTATTTTACCGAGCGCATAAAAGCGGAAATCTCTCTTTAGATTCTTCTTCTGAAAAATTATGTTCATGTGACTTAACGTGGCTCTGAGGCTCGTATAGAATTTATGTCAATATTTATATGGAAATTATTTTTATGACTACTGCTTCTAAAAATCGATAAAATTTTGTACTGTCTTTTTCCCAAATTTTTAACGTCGAAGATATCAACAGTTACAATGTTTGCATAAAATTCACGTAGTGTAAATTGTGATTTTTCGATCACTCTGTACGTGATGCGCGTGAAGTACATAAATTTCTCTCGCCGACGATAAGAATCTAAGAGAAACGTGCGAACTTCCTGCATCTTCCAGCACGGATTATCGAAGACGACGGGCTTCGTCCTAGATAATCCCGAAATAACATGAGCAAATATTCGGTTAGAAAAGTATTTTCCCTCCTTGTTTCCTGCATTACGTATACCTTTAAAGCTTGAGCGTATCTCTTGAAGGTTTTGAAAGCTTTTAAGAAAAGTTTTCAAGAGAATCGGCGATTTCGCGAGCTTTAACACACGATTCATAAATCCGAGGATGCATATATTCTCGAGTTCAAAGATCTAAATATCTTGAAATACTCGGGCGTCTCAAGGCGTAGAGGCGCGCACTATTTTTACCCCTCAACATATTCTTCGTGCTTCCATAGCGGCATCAAGAACGTGAGTATATATATATATATATCTCGGAACGCTTGTGGAATATCTATGCTTCTGAAAACTGTGAAAGTGTAGGTGAATGATGACCGTGTGTGTGGATGCATTCACAGATGATTGGACACACGATTCGGTTCATTGAATGCCTTGTGACGTCTCTTCTCATTTTTTGTGCGTCTGAACGATTTTTCGAAAAATAACGTTTACGTCTGTTGAGTTTTTATGCGCTTGGAAAAGTTAATTTATGTTGAAACGAAAATTTAAATTATTATTCTTATCTTGCTCGCGAAACCATCTCGATATCCTGCCTGTCGCTTTGGTTGTTTATGTTTTCTCATTATTCTTTGCACAATCGTTTTTCGCCCATCGAGATCACGTGACAATTTGACATTGTATAACGTCGTGAGAGTCACCAGTCTGCAAACACTAGATTGTTCAAGGACACTGACACTCGAACACCGCACCAAACGAAATATACCTATACAATTTACCCACCGCACCGAAGGATTTCAAGATCGATCTCGCAAATCGGAAATTTCAGAATCCGAAGGCTCGGGGTCCTGAAATCGAAAGATCGAGATGATCGTACAATCCGACGATTCAAAGGAGTTCAGGAACCAAGCTTTGGATGTTTGAAAAATTCAGAGATTCGGCGAGCCGAGGATTTTAGCTTTAATCGCGAAGATTCGTGGATTCCAGGCTCGTGGAATCTTTGGATCCGAAAGGTCTGCCAGGAGATCTAAAGCGTTCGCGCGCGTTCGCCGAACACAATCGCACAAAAGGGCATGTAGACGCTGTTGGGTTTTGCAGGTTCGATGTCGAGCGTGCCAGTCGGCCTCTCTTATCACGAGATGTTCGCCGTGTCGCTTAACAGCCCGGCGTTGTGGAGATGCCGCGCCTGCGGGAAGCAGGTGACCAATCGTTGGCACCACTTCCACATACACACGGCGCAGCGCTCGCTGTGCCCTTATTGCCCGGCCACCTACAGCAGGATCGACACTCTGCGCTCGCACATACGCACCAAGCACAGGGAGGTACTGTTCGCCGGGAAGGGGTCCTTGTAGAGGACGGTGATTGCCCCGCGGAGGAAGCGGCCGCTGCCGCTTCCGCTGCCGCGCCTGTTCCACGAGCGCCCGGTCGCGCCCTTCTTCGGCTTCGGGCTGCCCTGACTGTCCCTCGAGTCGCCAGGGTGTCGAGGACCGCCCACGTGGTGAAGCGTCTTCGAGAGGGGGAGCGCCACAGCAGGCTTGTACAGGCGGCGAAATGCTTCGCGCGCGATCGTCCTGGGATTAATGCGACGACCTGGACATTTGTAGATGTCTGCAATCTGCGAATAGTGTCGAGTATTCCAGAGAGTCAGAGACTACGAAAAAGTAATTCCGAGATTCGACAGGCTCGAAATTATCGTCCGATTGACGGATTCTAGAGTCTAAGGGTTTAGAACTTTCCAAGATCCTAGGATAATGCATCGTTTTTCCGGGGGGGAGCGGAAGAGTGTCGGGAAAAAGAAGAACTTCCCTCCCCCCCTCCACCGGCGAGTACCGGCGAAAACCGGACCAGCGATCGGCGCGCGATGGTATCGATTCGCGGGGCGAATCCGTTCGACCAATGGCCTCATTAGCGATAATTATCCGTCAGTTAATCCGTTTGTCGCGTCTACGGACGAGCTGTCGTAACGCTAAAAGCGGGGGCGAGGAGAGACGAGGAAGAAGGACGGTTATCGATCACCGCGCCCTCGAAACTTCCGTTACATCTCGCGTAGCGGCGGAAGGGCGACGCGGCGGGCGGGCAAATAAATAGGGCAATGGGATCTATCGACGACGTGCTCACGCGCTGACGGTCGAGCGGCGTATAGCTGGCGTGAAGTCAGAATTTTGCGAGGACAATCGATCGATAGTAATGCTTCGAATAGTTTTCGCGAAGACGATGAGCAAAAGAGCGTCTTGTTTGGTTCCCTCTCGTCTGGGCGGACCGCGAGAAACCAGATCTTTCAATATTGTGTCTGAGAATATTGCGTATCGAACTGTATTTGCGACGTATTTTTCTAAATTTTACACGAAAACTTGTTACTTTTTAATATCCATATTTATTTACTCCCGTAAGAAGGCTTTTCCGCGCAGTATTTATTTGATCTCCTATTTTGTAAGTTATTATTTAAGCCGTTATTTCATATGTTACTTCGCAACATAGCGTTGAGCGCCGGTACATTTCTTTTCTTTTCTTTTTACGTCCGCGCGTTCGTCACATAGTTGCCGTTGCGAAGCAATTCTGCGGAGCAAAGCAATGTTTTCGCGTTTCAGAACTGCTTCGCAACAACACCGCAATCAGCACAAATAACGATTACGACAGGAAGATAGATGCCTTTCGATGAATTGCGGTAGATTTGAAAAATTGAAAATGATTCGTAGTGTCATCGTGACGAATTGACGGAAACACGCGCTTGATAACGATCAACACACACAAACGAATGCATTCTACATTTATCAAAATCGCATATAGAATGCATTTCTGGCGGTCCGCTCCCGAAGACGTTGCGCAACATATTGCGCGCGCACGTCACATCGTCATTGAATTCGTTCTGATTTCGTTAACTGATTTCGATCGAGCCGTCTCTCTACGTTTGTCGATGATTCGATGAGGATGAGAAGGAGCTGAGAAGCGGAAACGAAGATGCACGACAGAACGCGAGGTGGCACGCGAAAGCCCGCGCTTCTAAATGAACGGTCTAATTAATTATGCAATGGAAGGCTGAAACGCGCGCTGTGATTTTCGAACACCGAAAAAAAAAAAAAATTTTTACTCAAAGGTTACTATGAATTATCGTGATAGCGACCATTGTTATCATTGTTAACAAAGAGAATATCCTATTAATCTTAATATTATTTCGCCACGCGCGACTATCAACCATCATTTCTCTCAGTTAATTCGCGTTACAGACGCAAACGGTCTATGTGTGAGAGTGAACGAGAATGAGAGGAAGAAAGAGAGAGAAAGATGTGAGTAAATTACACCGCCAGTCCTCGGTGTACGAAGCTGAATATTGCCAAATTTCACTTTATTCTTCATTATTTCATTACATCTACATAATCCAAAATTATTCATGATTTTAGTATTTTAATTCGACGGAAGTTTTCGAGATACGCGCATTTCTAATTTTCTTTGCCTTTCTCTTAAATCTAATGAGTTTTAGTGTCAAATATAATATACTAGTATCTAAATATTCAGCAAATAAAGATCCAATTAATTATTTTATTAATACGTTTTAAGTTGCGAGCCTGCGCGTTTTCGTAGATCGAGGACGGCAACGGATGGAAATGCGCGACAGACGTTTCGTACGTCCGTAGCAGTATTACGCACGTATTCAACGATTTCGTATATATATATACTTGGGCGGTGTGGTCAACCGCCATGTAGGACACGAGTGTCCTGCGGAAAGTTCGCGCGTCTCGCGACGGAGGATGTTGGAGGACTGACGGCGGCCGCCGGTTATCGACCCATTCAGTTTCCGGCGAAGTGAGTAAGTACCGAGTTGTTTGAGAAATCCATTACTTTATCTGTTACGCGACTACGAAACGGACAGCACCCAAATGTATTATACGCGTTGGTACATTGATAAGAGAGCGACCTCGATCGAAGATGATACCGAGTGCTCCGAGCTTCCACGAGGCGCTGCCTGATTTATTCTCCTCTCTATTGGAGGCGCGCTATCAGATCAGGCGCGCCAATACGGAACAGGAATAAATCGAAGGCGCCTCGAAATATTGCAATACGATGCCCAAACACACGGGAAACTTAAAATAACCGATTTTCTTCTTCGATTTATGCTCCTTCGAATATTTGAATCCACACGAGTCCCCGAGTGACTTTGTTACTCGCCGTTTTTTCAAATCAGTTTGTCGCCTTCGGACGCTTCGTAACTCGACGGTTTCGGATCCCGTGATTTCTCACGCTTTACGGAGCGAAAGGGAGCATGTGGGTCAATGCGGAAGATAAATTAAGCACAAAAGTTTGCGACGCGCTCTTCGCGAGTCGCGCGCGAATCCTTTTGGGAATAATGCTGTTTGAAAAGAAAAAGAAGTCCTATCGCTGTGTAGATCGCCATCCGCAACGAAATGGCGTCTCGGATCCCGTCAGATATTTACCCGAACATTTCTCTTTGGACCAATACTCTTCGTGTAATGAACGGTTGTAATCGCTGTCGAGGCTCGTAAAGTACCTAAGCAAACCTCACGCTGAGATGAGGGTTTTTGACCGTGTGGTTCCTAAGTTTTACTCATAGCAAGCCAAGTCACAATGGAGAAGTTATGTGATATATTAGAGACGGTATACTCTAAGGCTAATAATTATCATTTACAGGGACGGACTGGCCCGATATCTCTCGGTAAATGAAAACAGTATTCATTCGAATTGATGGTCGATTGAGAGGATCGTTAAGTGCGAGATTCGAACATTTTGCGGAGAGAGTCACGCCATCAGCCTCGTGAAATAGCGATCGTTGGCGTGAATGTTGAAGATTACATGACAAGGGTCAAATTTGAGTATCTCTCACACACACACACACACACACATACGCGCGCACACACACAAATACAGCAGATATTTTATGTTATCTTGTCGAAACTTTGTTCGATACTTTAATGACTAAGTTTTTCATCAGTTTATTGTACATTAGACCTAGCCCTGTCAGCCAGTCCGTCCATGTCAATTTACGTGTTGCGTGTAAAAACTAATATTTGCGAATGCGAGTCCGGATGGATCGCGCAGGCAGCGTCGGCGATCCTTTTTAACTTTATCGTCGTAATTCTGATCGTGAACAATGTACATCGCCGCGACAAATCACTCCAGTCTCCGATCTTTGTTGTAAAATTAAGTGTAAATATCGGAAAAATGGCCGGGAATCGATTCTATTTGCCAATTTTTTTTTTATATAATAACGTGATTGCGCGCGTAACGAAATGTTTGCTTCGGGATTTTTTGGCGAATACGTAAGCGCGCGTAGGGGTGAATCGAGCCGTCTGATTAAACTTCAGCAGTCGCGTGGGGATTCGTGTGTCTCCTTGTCGGACACATGTTTAGTAATCATAGTGGTTTAGCGATAAGACTTGGAATGTTTTTATCGCTCTTCTTTTTATCTTCGTTTTATCTTTATCTTTCGAGAAAATAATATTTCCGAGTTTCAAAGGACGATCATCCAGAGCGATAAAAACGGACACGTTGAAACGTGTTTTTAGAGAACCGATTAGGCTCTGAAACTGACTCATCGTTGCCGTCATTGTCATCGACCCCACGCGGCTGTTTGAAGGTTGAATCAAGTTTCGCGTGATTTGAAACGCGCTTTCCTCGCCGGACGCAGCAGCGAACGGTTCCGCACGATAACGAAATCCGCGGATATCCGCGGTCACGGTCGCATTTGCCGTAAGGCGCATTAGGCGCCGGCTGGGGCCTCATTTTCAAACCTTACTCCTCACAAATAACAATATAAAAAGCAATCTAGTTATAATCGCAAGATAAAATACTCAATTTTAAATATTAAATTTATAATATAAAAACTAGAGGCCGCTGAAAAATTTGTAAGCGGCAATTGTTCATTAAATTTCGCCCTTTTGCGTTATGCATATCGAATTTTATTTTCAATGAACTTGAAAAAAAAATGCGCACGAACTTGATTAACTTAACTGAAACTTGTTCTTTTGAGGTCTCATAATGATGTCGCGCCTCCAAAAGTGTAAATGCGACTTTGTCCGCGGAACGTACACTTTTTCAATCGCGGCTTCGACGGTTCGCGCTCGATTTAAAAAGTTCCGTGTCCGACGAAATTATCGGGTCTGAACTGTTCGAGACGGGATCGCCCGCTTCGCTCGCCTCGTCGCGACGCGACGGGGCGCGGATGAAAAGGGACACACGCCCCTCCCCACTCCTCCGTGCTATTGTAAATAGGGGAACCGCGGTCGCGAGACTGGAGTGGTGTCATCTCGGTGATACGTCCAAATGGAATTGTGACGTTTCCTCGATCAGCGCAGATACACCGTGTGTACGTCGATCCCATCGGAATCCTCCACACAACCAAAATGGAGCTAGATATATACATATGCATAAGCATACATACATAATTATGCTACATAATACACGTATACATAGGTAGTTATATATACATAAACTACGTACGGGGCGCATGTCTCAAAAAGTGTGTACCGATGGGGATTTTTTCTCCGCGAAACACCTCAGATTCGTTGCGGAGAAAATTTCTGTCTTTCGTCATTTCTATTTTAAATATACGTTTTATACGAGTATAATCGGATTTTATTACTAAATAATCTCTCAATTGGACTTCACGTGTTTACGGTTTTCCAATTTTTAAAATTAAAAATTGTTGTTTTCTCGAATTGTCGAAGTACTTCAGACAATTTCCAATTTTTAGCTGTCCTGAGGAGTCTCGCACGAGGATAGCAATCGATACACACTCTTTGTGAAACATTCTGTGCACGCATCTTTGTGCTGGTGGTCCGGTGTCGCGGAAATCGAGACTTCGAGCACGAGCCATTTAATTTGCTCAGGCTGCTACGACTTTTCGGTCGATCAATCCGCTGTGCGAGGTGTTGCGAGGCAAATATTGGCTTCATCAAATATGCAGCGACAGTTGCAGCCGGATGCGTCTCCGGCATAGCTTCTCGCTTCCTTCCGATGCAGCAGCAGCAGCGGCGGCAGCAGCAGCAACAGCAGCAGCAGCAGCAGCAGCAGTCGATGTTGAACTGCGGCGAGTTGCTTTCTGTCTTCCGTGTTTACGCACCGATTTCTTTTAGTTAGACAGAGATTCGAGCGTCCAAAAGAGAAGAGAGAGAGAGAAAGATCTTTGATTTCTCGATTCAGAAATTTCGCAACTATGGAAACTGCGGGTCGCCTCCTGCAACTTTGAACGGTGAATTGCGGAATCCTCCGGTCTGGAGACAAAGGTTTTCTCACCAGGACACTTGGAAGGCATGCCTGGTTTTAAATCTCTCTGGGGAGACGTGCGAGTCCTTGGCCCGGTTGCACCGACGTTAACTTTATACTAGTGTTAACTTTTGATTCCTTCAATCGTCCCTCTCTTTCTATATCATAGATACAATTAGAGATCAGAGACAATTGTTAAGCTAGGATTAATCGACGCACATTGTCGGTGCAACCGACGGCTTTAGCACTTATCGACATTTCTATCTCCGCGCGGACTCTCGAGTCGTCAGGGCTGGCAAAGTCTTTTGCGAGATCACAAATCGCCTTTACTTTTGCATTGCACAAAGAGATTCTACGAGTCCGAGTCTTACGCTCACGTCTGTAATCGGCAACGGCCATCGTTGCAAAGGCCCGTTTCCTCTCAACGACTACTTGCAATAAACGCTACAGTTCCTAAACGCCGAAAGAACGATTTCTCGCACCTGGCCACCGATATTCGACCGAATTATCGCCCACGATACCAAATGTTCCTTAAGTTGTTTTTTCTGCGAAAATACTCTTGTAAATAGTCAACTTCTACATAACTGAAGTGAATTGTATGCGAGGAAGATCGAATTAAAATGTGATAAGATGTTCGAAATAAAGAATGCGCGCAGCGAGTTCTATCGATCACCCGAGATGAGATTCCAAAGTATACTAAGTTGAATACACCAACGATAAAGTGATCATTTTCGGAAGATGCTTTAAACGTAGATCTTATTTATCGACAAATGTATTCCATGAGCTTAGCTTTCGTCATTGATTCGAGAGAAAAGATTCATGAAAAAAATACTGTTTTACAAATAAATGTAATATCCTACTCTGTTGAGCCTTTTTAGTTCCTGTAATCCTAAGATGTTGAAGTCCTATTTTTTTCAAGTTCAACTATTAAAAGCTATTAAAAGTATTATCTTACCCATTGCGTGTGTAAATTAAATGAAATGCGACTCGTGCGACTAGCTTGGTAAACTTTGGAACCCATGTGGTCAACGCATATTCTCGTCACGACGATTAGGATCGAATGCCAGTTATTGCACACACTCGATGTAACTATATAAATATCGATATCAATCTATCAGTCTCATGTCTGTTTGATGGTACTTAAACGAAACGGTCCTTCGGGCTGTTCCCTCTGCATTCAGCGGCGCAGTGTCGATAATGTTCTTTAAGCGAAGTATATAAGTTACTAAACAATAACAATAATAATAAACAGATAAATAAATAATTCTCTTCTCGTAGCACCGTTCCTTTTTTTGGCCCGACGTGCGACCCGAGCACGAATCTTTTGTATATAAAAGTACCGCGAATCGCGCAGGTGCGAGACGCGAAAGGTAATAATTAATTAATTAATTGACGCTCTATCTGGTCGCAAGTTGCGTGAGCCAACCTTGCGTATAAACTCATTGCTCGTTATATGCGATGTATTTTTGTGAACAGTATTGAAAGTGCTACCGTTGTACAGTTATCATATGGTAAATGTACTATATATAATGATGTATCTATATGTACATAGATATATTTAATTAAAGTGAATATGAATTTGTGTACTTCTTGAGTGCTCATTATCCATTCCCTTCTTCACGCCGTTACTTCCGGTCCGAAGGTCTGAATATTCCACAACTTCGCGAAATACTCTCCGCTCCCGGACGCGCGACTCGCGCTGATTAATGTCATTTGTCTCGCCCTCGCCACGTTAACTTAACGGTAATTCAGACCTGAGACGCAAAGCAAATTCGCCGCCATTAACTTACCGAAAGTTTAGATCCGGTCTATATGCAAGGTAAATGCGAATTAAATTCCTAAAGGCGAAACTTGCCTAATTAATTCGTCTGGTTATGTTATCTCGATACGTTGCAGCGAAACGTGAGGTCAGCTTTATACGAGATATGCATAATAGTTTTTACACTATCGTGCGATAACGTTATCGGTGATGGATACGAACATAATTATTATCTCTCGCAAATATTCCAGGCGTATTTAATGCCGCTATTTGCATTATCGCTCTAGTTGTTCAAAGAAATATGCTAACAGATAAAACGTACAAAATGCAGCTGATACAAGTATAGTAAGATTGTTGGAAGAATTGTATTGTGATTGTGTCTTTTCCTTCAAACTACAAGAAAATCTCGAGACAATCCTCCCTAATTGATAAGAGCTGATAAGAACTCATTTTCTAAAGTCAAAAAAGATAAGAACAGCAAAAAGGAATTTAAATGTTTCCAAATTGCTTTCTTTATCTTCTTCTGTCTTTCGTTAATCTAATCGTTATTGTAGAATAACATAGAAAGATCGTAATTTAATTATATCTGTGTTGATAACTTTTAAACAAATATTTGAGTATGGATAGAACTGACATTTTACTGCTATTGTTTAGAAAAACCGAGTCTAAACTATGCTACGTTTCTCGATATGACGAGACTGTACCACAGTGCGTTACTTGGTATTTGAAATTCCATCGCGTGGTGGTAGATAGAATTATGTCAGAACGATTTCTCTGAAAAGTTTGAACGCGTTTCGTTTCACCGTGGTAAAACACATGCGCATCCCTTGTACATGTGCATCTTCGCAGACCACCTTACATCGAACATTCGCGCGAGCTTGCATCTTCGCTATCTCTTCTCCAGGCGTTAAGGCGTACGTGACTCGAAAGTAAAACGTGGACCATCGGATATGCCACGAAAACGGCGCCGTTCTACATGCGTTACACGCAAATTTGCAATTTTTCACGAAAATAATAGTGAAAATATATTGCGAATGCTCTGCGCGACAATTTGACTCTCAAATTGCTGTTTAAGAACCGTTTGACTGAATTATCTGAAATGGTGACAATATTAAATTGTTGTAACATGTGAGATTATTCTCTCGTCTTCAACAATTTAAAAAGATTGAAATTTCTCTTTCGTTGCTTTCACTAATTTTATAAATTTATTCGTATTTTTTGGCCAATAAGTATTGATTAAATATACTCGAATTTTCAAGAGAAAAATGTGATCTAAATAAAAATTAACGCACTATTTTTAATGTTTGAAACATAGATATGTAACTATTGAAACTTATATTGCTGAAATGCATTCTTGTTAAAAAATTCGAGTATATAATAGTCTTCGATGAAAAAGAAAAAAATCAAATCAGATCTATAAACGTACATAGAAAAATATTTGCTTATCAATGGAACCAAGTTCGACTAAATGGAACACGATTGCTTAACAGCAATTTATTAACTCTGCAATTTTATTAAGAAAGTTCAACATAGTTATTTTAATTCAAATCTAATCACATTTCAAACCGTTCCTGGATAATTCTGATCTCAGGCCACGTTCGATTGCTTCGCAGCTATTTCGCGCTGCACTAGACCTTCGAAACAGATGTGCTGTTGAGCTGACGATCGTTTCTCGTTCCTATCAGTAATATTATGCAACAGCTCGGAGATAACGTTATACATCTTGGCGTGCGGACGGACGATGCTACGGACGGGGAAGGGATGACTAGAAGAGAAGGGGAAGGCAAACATTGCAACCTTCGTCACCAGATGGCACCTCGTTACTAGACTCGCATTCAGCTTCCGACCGCTTCAATCTGTTTCACTTTGCGCCAGTCAAAGCCGGCTCTCATTGCGACTCGTTTATTCAATAAATTCAAGGCTGTTGTCAGTTGCTCACGCAATCATTCTCGATCATCGGCCCGTGATGACACTACAGGCGATAAAATGGAACAAGGCGGATGGCAAGCTGGAAATCCTGGACCAGACACTGTTACCGGTGATCACCCGCTATGTTCAAGTCAAAGGCGTAGAGGACGGTTGGAAGGTGATTAATAAAATGCAGGTAAGCCTGTGATCAAGCCAAGGATGCTTTGTAGTGTGTCAATAATGTCTGTTATATTAGTATCAAAAATGCCATTTCTTTTTAATATGTTTACTTGGTCTGTCACTGTATACCAATGTTGTAATTTATTTTTGTGGCAAAAGGATTATTTTATTCATATTAGCACATATTATTTCATATTTACACATATTATGTTTCTATAGATTGCCTAAATATGATTTAGAATGCACAGCATTGGAATCTATCTAAAGTCTCTCATGTTACAAGTACACATGCTGAAATGTTATTGCTTACATTTTATGATTAACATAATTTTGTTTTGTAGGTACGTGGTGCACCAGCTATAGCAATTGTGGGCTGTCTTAGTTTAGCAACTGAGATCATTCATCATCCAGAATACGAACATAAGACAGCTTTTCGTCAAGATGTTGAAGGTAAATTGAATTACCTGGTATCAGCACGTCCTACTGCTGTTAACATGAAGACAGCAGCCAACGAATTCATAAACTTGGCAAATAATCTTAGTAAGGATGCCCAATACACGCTATCCCAGATGAAAGACAAGTATATTCTTGTAGCTCTATATTTTTGAAGAAAAAAAACCAAACAGTGCGTTTCATATTGTTTTGCAACTGTGTTACAGATTCATAAATGAGATAGATGAAATGCTGCGAAAGGATGTGGAAGACAATAAAGCGATTGGAGATTGGGGTGCGCGTGAAATTCTACTGAATGTGCCTAAGGACAGTTTTATTAGGATCCTTACACACTGCAACACTGGAAGTCTTGCCACTGCGGAATATGGCACAGCTTTGGGTATTATCAGATCTCTTTACGAGAAGGGGAAGCTTGGTAAATATGCTTGTTTTTGAATACGTTATCTTGGGTGATTAAGATGTGTTTCCCAATCGTTATCTGTTTCCAGAAAAGGTTTTCTGCACCGAAACCAGACCGTACAATCAAGGCGCTCGTTTGACCGCTTATGAATTAGTGCATGACAAAATACCTGGAACTCTAATATGCGATGACATGGTTGCAGCGGCATTAAAAACAAAACAGATCACGGCAGTTGTCGTGGGCGCGGACAGAATTGCCGCAAACGGCGATACCGCCAACAAAATTGGAACTTATCAGGTAATAAACATGATATATCTTGATTTATGATTATTACGGACAGAGTAATAAATGACAATGATAATGGCCTAAAATATTCACATTGTTATCTTTATTAATTATAGATTGCAATCCTCGCCAAGCACCATAATGTTCCTTTCTACGTGGCTGCACCAAGAACCTCTATAGACTTTCACATATCGAGCGGTGATCACATAATCATTGAAGAGCGACCTGAACGAGGAAATGACTCACATAAATGATCAGAGAGTCGCAGCAGACGGCATAAAATGTTGGAATCCGGCATTTGACGTGACACCGGCAAGTTTAATCACTGCCATAATTACAGAAACTGGTGTCTTTAAACCAGCAGACTTAATAAAAGCGAAGGAGTAACGCGAATTGATGCGTCATTGTTTCATACAACAAGTATAAAGACTTTCAAATTTAATTTAACATTTTAAGCACGGTGCTATTCTAAAAAACAGAATGATTGTATGATATAAGATCTCAGGGAAGTCAATTATTGACCGTACTTAATCGGTTAAATTAAAATTAAAAAGAGGCTAACATCAAAAAACTGTTACAGCGTTTTAAAAACACGATTTCAATATTTGCTAATACTATATAATTTTGTATTACAATTTTTTAAATTTCTAAGAATATTACTTTGTTACACTATTGTTATACTATGATGTATTGCTATACCGTTATTGCATTAAGAGATTTTCAGAAATTTGTATCTGATTGAATAAACATATTAAATAAACAGATTTTATTGTTTACATACTGCAACATTTAAAGTTTAACATATTATAAATTGTGAAGTTTATAATATTTTGATTCTAAACTAACTTTAGCTTTTAACTATACTTGCTTTAGTGTATATTTAAAAGTTCTAATAAATTCAAAAACTGAAGAGAGGCCAAATATAATATAGCTCACTCGGTTGCTGAACACTAAATAGTTTAAATTTCTTGCGAATTAATATATATGTGCAAAATTATAAATTTTTTTAATTCAACCTTTGAATTGTCAAGTATTTAGATTTTTAGTTTTAACCACTCTGCATTTTTAAAGATGTTTAAATCCTTTCCAGCTTAATTCTTACGAATGCTGTCCATTCTTGAAGGATATATAAATTTATTTATTCTAAAATTCTTGAAACATATAAATCTCAAAATTGCATTGTATTAAAAATCATCTATATCTGTGATCTACAATATTAATGAATCTGTGATCTACAATATTATCGAAATATTATCGATATCGACATCGACTTTGAGTGAAATCGACTCTAAATCGATATCGATATGTTGATACGTTCACTCTTGAACCGCGCTATTCCCGTGGGAGAACGTTAGATTCTATTTTCGCCGTTGAAAAGCGCGCGCGGGTTTTCGTCCGTTGCGGGTTTCCGCGGCCGCGATGCTTTAGTACTGCCAGCCTCGTCGCTTCGTACGGAACTTGGACGCCCGGAATAGTTTTGTTACACTGTAAAAGTTTTTCGCCGCGCGCCGAAATCGGACGGCTGGTGTCCGCGTAGTGGTTAGACCCGCAAATCGTGGTGTGCGTCGCGCTCTTTCGCAGCCACTTACACAGCGAGACCGAGCGAGATCCGGCCGCAAGCAACATTTTCGGATTCCTTCATAGAAGTGGACACGGAGAACGTCAGAATGGACGAGGTGGATACCCTGGTAAAGAACGATGACGACGGCGTCGTCAACAACGACGACGATGATGCGCCCACCGTCGAGGAGACGTATGAGATTACCACCACCAGGCGCAAGACCATCCGCACCAGCTATAAAATTCAAGAAGTAAGTCGTTGATTAATAATTCTATGCACAATATACAGGATTATTATGACTACGAATTGTAAGATTCCATTGGCGCCATAGCGTGGGCGTTAATATTGAATAATCGTATTTCAGAGATTTTAGAGTGATATGAGAGATAAGGTTAGCTCGTTCAAAAATGTGGATTTATCTCTAGTAACTATATAGAAATTAATTAATAAAATTGGACAGAATTACTGATTTTTCACATAATGGAAGTCCAATCTCTAATTCGGTTCAATGTTTATTTAAAAAAAAACATGTATATTTTTTTAAGACGAAGCATTAAGGCTTTAAGAATGATAGAAAAAAATCTCAGGTTTTAATAACAAGCTTGAACAAAGCTGAAAATTTCTCAAATTTTTTTGCGAACTTTTGAGGAATTATTTTTATAAATAAATTAAGATGTGAGGGACGGCTGCAATATTCGTTTCTTTCATATTAATTGCGTTTTATTTCGGTGCTCTGGATATAACCGATGTTTGATTTCCACGTATTAGGAATTGTCTCAGATAGGTCGCGAGTCAGTAAACTATTCCGTCGGTGTTTATTATTCATGTATCCACCGAAACGCGATGCAGTTGCAGACGCAAAATTCATCGAGCAAGTGCGTAAGACTTGCTGTATACGTAATACTATTTGCCAAACATTCGGTCGACTATTGTTTATTTATCACCTACACGGTGGCATGAATCAGTGATATACTCGCTTAACCACGCGTTACGCAAAGCTCGAGAATCGGCTTCGCTTTGCGATTTTTCCACGATCACGCATTCGGCGTGTATTTTCCGCTCGTCGAAGCATCGAAAGAGACGATCCGCCATCGCGATCGCCGGCCCTCGTGAAACAAACGGCTGCGATCCTACGTCATTGTCAGGACGACGATTTTAGAACTGGCAACGAACTCTTTTCGAACGCAGAAACGACATGCGGCACGTAAATTCGGCAAATGAGCGGCTGACGACCGACCATTCGCGATCGGGACTTCCGATGAACGATCATACGCGAGAGTGATTTGCATTTTCCTGTTCCACGGGTGTTACGCGATTTCGTAACTTCTCTGCCAAATCGACGTTAAAAATGTTTCCGCTTCGAGCAAGCGGGAGTCTTTAAATTAGTTGTGCGAAAAAACTTTGAACCTTATGAAAGCTCATAAAAAGTTGACATCAATTGAATAGAAGTTGTTTGTATTAGCGGACTTCTGCAAATAAACATCTTGATTTATTTAATCAAACAAGATTTTATACAGCAAGTAGATTTTATAATACTAACAAAAAGGAATAGCTTTTTTATAATTCTGATAAAAATCAACTTATAAGAAAAAAAGCCGATTACTGCTATCGTTGAAAAATAAATCACAAACAAATGCAAGCATTCAAGAGCTGTCTGCGTGCCGATGCAAAATTGCAAAATTCTTGGCTTAAATCTGAATGTCACTTCAACGGTGTTCCGCCGAATTAACGAAAGGACTCGTTAAGTGTAAAATATGAGCGTTAAGCAGGTCGGAATTTTCTAAGTAAATAAAGGGAGAAAATATATGAACGACAATCGGGAGTTTTATCCGTGAAGCGGTTTTTAAATAAAAGGGATTGCTCGGCAAGAGAGTTCGGCGAAAAAAACTCCACAGAATCATCGAACGAGCGCGATCGCGCCGTAAACTCCACGATCGCTTTCCGCTTGTAACGCAATTAGCGGCCACAAAGCTGTTACCGCGATTCTACATTTAAACGAGAACCGGCGCTTCGTTAAAGCGGAGCGGGCTAAATTGCAGTCCACTTTGTCGCGGACGGCACGTGACAGCATAAATTTCACCGGCGATCTGCTTTCGTGAAAGCGGCGATCTGTTTCCTCCGCCGCTTGATGAAGATACTCGCTTTTCGAACATCCTGTCGCAACACGGCCGAAGAAATTTAATCCGCGCAGCTAATTTTGAATTAGTATCGTGTCCTGCCAACTGTGTTGCGTTTGCATGATTTATAATATCAAATTTGGAAATGGGAGCTAAGAACCGGCAAATGAACGATATAAACCGTACATACGCTAAAGAATAACTTGCACTAAATATTCTATAACGATTCTTGAATAATTTTTACTATCGGGATATTTAAAACAGCACACATATTCGAAAGAATGTCCAGAAGACATTCCGAAGATATCTTTGAGAGATACGATATCTTCGGGATGTCCTCTGAACGGACATGCATGCTGTGTGGGTTAGATATTTCGGTATTTAATCTAATCTACACGACACTCAATGGAAAATCTTGCGTTCTGTGCATATTTCCAAACTGAGTTTCCAGACCAAGGCGATCTAGCAATAGTTTTCCGCGAACGATCCACTATGATTCTCCGATGATCGTCGTTCGCGAAACGAACGATCGTCGAAGTCACGTCCCGACCTCAGCGCTATTTTAAAAGTACGTCGGTGTAAAAGAGAGCCTGCTTAGTCGTCCTATCCTGCGAAACCTGCAAAAGTGACGGCGGCCAACGATTTATCGAACAAGTGGCTGGATCTGAATCCATGCGCTACTTTTAAATTACGGACGCTGGCGCCGAGTCTCGTCTACCTTTATAAATACGAGAAGATCGATGTGTATTTTCTTGTTACAAAACTGAGCGATTTCCGGACGTATGTTGAACGGATACAAGTATATTTGGATAAGCAGGTAAATATAATGTAATGATAGACAGATGAATCCAGTTTTCTCGACGAAGCGCGTAAGGTGACGTGAGTGGACTAGTTTTTGCTAACTAAATGAATGAAGACTAAATTCCACAACCAGAGCTTGATGAATGTACGCGCGATTTCGGGGCGCGATTATTTGAGGCTAACGTTTAATAATAAAAGACCAGCAGCGGTATTTCACTCAACAGCTTGACGACATATTATAGAAGTAGCAGACGTTTTAACCGGTGCGCTGAAAGCAGACGAAAAGTGAATCAATAAGCAGGGAAATTAGACGAGTTTCTCCGTAGCAGCTGTCGCGTATAACGTAGAGAAACGTTAGCAAATCATTCGGGTCGTAAACGGAAAAGAGAAATCAATTTAAAGCGCCAACGAGCGCGTCGCCGAACTTTGGAGATGTTTGTTACTGCAATTAACATTCGAAGCCGAAGTTATTTTGGCCGCGTGACGATTATTTCACTTTATAACTGCTGGTGAAATATTCTGGAACGTTACATAACAATTTGCTAGATGAATATAAATTTATTATTATTGGGCCAATATAACTATACAAATTTGATGTTTTTTTCAAACTTTTTATGTGCGCTTTATATAACTTATTTAAGATACTTGAGTCACTTGAGTTTTCTGTGGATTTTATCTGTGTTATTTAAATCTTCTAGATTGTGTCTGTAGTTTGTCAAGAAAAATTTATTTTAAATGAACCGCAGAACTTATTAACAAAAATTAAAAACGAGAAGATCTGACATTAACAAAAAAAGTGGCTCACCTTCCGTCATCTCGCGACATAGATTGGACTTTTCACATAAGTTTGATTAAGAGGATGTTAAAATAATTGAAGAACATTCTTATAATAAAAGACTCATATTAGAAATGCTTTTTATAGACAAAACGGCAAAAAAGGCCTTAAATCAACAAAGTGATACAGAGTTTTTGCCGAACGAATATTTGTCAGTATAGAACTTATTTCCTAATGTATGGTTGCTTTTCTCTTCTTCCTTGCTATCGCTTCTTTCCCTCTCCTCCTTTTCAAAATTTCCCACTTTAGGCCCAGGCGTTTTCTCTACCTGACAACAGCTCTCTAGTTGTCTCACTAAACATACTGGTCAGTTCTATTTTAATCGTTGACTTCTCAAGTTCAATATACTTTATTTTACTAAATCAACGTACAGTTTGAGTCGTCGAGAAGAGCTCACTATTCTTCTCTCCAATTATTGGAAGCATTGAACACATCAAGAAAATGTATGTATTTTTTTCTCTTTAAATTTATTAACTCCTTTTATATTTACTCGGTTTTTTAGTTTTATTTGCCGGTCAATTTTATTTTACTTTAGTAAGTCTTGAACAATCGGAACTAACTAACATGGCATCCAAAGTTGAAAATTATTATTGCGACTCTCATAATAGCTAAATGATTCTTAACATGACGCCTAGCGAATGACAAATTTAATAACATGCAAAGCAGCGATTAAAATTTTGTATCTTTGGTAAAACAACACTGATGAAGGCCTGATGTAGGTCGAAACGTTTGTTAATATTCTGATTTGAAATAGAAATTGCACGTCCATCCAGCATAGGCTTTCCGCTCCTTTATATATTATTGTTTTAAAAACGAGAAGTTTGGGTCTTGTGTATCAGATTAATTAATTAATTCATCATATTCTGTGCATCATTAATTCGTTTGTTCACGAATTAACGAAAGAGATAGATAACGTGGAAGCCAGATAGGGATGTGGAAGAAATAGAAGGGAGAAGAGTTGGCGTGTGGCGAGAAAGAGAAAACGGCAACGTGCTTTCGTAGTCGGCGAATTTGTCCCGTAAATTACTCGCCGTGCTTCTGACGTTCAATTAATCATCGTAATTCTAAGTTACCTGCTTGTGCTCAACGATACCGGTATACTGGCAGCTGTTGAATTATTTTCGAGTTGTAGCTCCGCCTGATCTGAATAAGTTTTCCGCCTCCCATATTTCACGGGAAAGTCGTGGAAAAGAATATGAACGTCCGCGTGTTTCCGAGAATATCGGTTGGACTTTAAATGTCTATTCTTTCGGCGAAAACGCGTTTAACGCTAATAAAAGTCTGCACAGTTTGAAAATAACGGAACTCTTTTTCCACGTTGAATGTCATATAATTAACAAAAATTATGAATTACGCTATAATTTTTCTTTCGTTGTACGACATTAATTGGAATAATATATAATTTGTGTAGGCATTCAATACATTTACTTGCGTAAGTAGCGATATATGCGATACAAAGTCCAAATCGTTCGACTAAAAGTATTCAATTGTATGCGA